TTGGTTACGGAATTATTAATGTTTTAAGTTTATTGCTGGGATTTATGGATAACTTCACACCAGTTTTGATTATTATCACTAATAAATACGAAATTATAAATAGAGTACACTATTTGCTTGGTCCGCTGTAAAAATGTGAATTTCCTTTCTGAATCTGTTGCTAACTTCAACGACATACGTTTATTTACTTTTTGTAAAATAAAGTTTTAGTTTTTATGATACTGATTTGTTTTCTTACTTATTACAACATATCCTGGAATAATATTTCTGTCTTAAACATCATATTCGATAAATTAGAGGGGTAAGGGGTAACTTGAAAATGTTGTGAAGTGTACATAGACTTTTTTGACCCAGTGTATATTTTAAGTACCATCATAATAAACGTTCCACTTTTCTTCCAAACATCCCGTAAACCATAAAATTTCAAATAATCATTTTCTGGGTGAGACTTTTTCCACTTAAAATAAATTAAGAAAAGACTATTAACGTGACTCGCATATGGAATGTGGCGTTCGTAAATTTGTTGAAGTTCTTTAATTTGAAGAGCATTCAATGTATTCACTTTAATTTCGTCCATCACTACAACAAAAAAGATAATAATTATAGATTAAAAAGGAAGTTACATACTTATTTTTAGAAAATATTTTATTATTGTATGTTTGGGTGTTAAGTGAAAGATCACGCACAATTGCTCGTAATAGCTGATAAATATAAAATAAACATTAGAAAAAAAAACCTTTTCGTAGTTAGGCAACCAAATTCTCTTCAAATCTTTATTTTTACAAACTATTCTTAAATTTACAAAATTTAAAATTAACTAATACTTTTTAAATTTTCTAATATTTGTTATAGGCACAAATAAGTGCAGTCCCCGATACATTGAAATCCTAATTTCAAAAATAATCCTTTTGAAATGTGATTTTTATTTACAATTGTACACATAGGATTAATTCCTTCTTTTGCAACTTCTACACACATTTTCTTAACAATTAACGATCCATATCCCTTCCTTTTAAATTCAGGAACTGTCTCTAAAACAATTAAGACTCCCCAATAATCTTGCAATACCCATGAAACCAAACGACGATTCTCTTTTAAGAATACTCCATATCCATGATTCATTTCAATAAAACATGATAAATATTCTTCCACACCAGGAAAAGAATATGGCCATAAACTGCATAATAAATCTATGTAAGAAACGTTTAATTTATCGATATAAACCTCATCAGGACATCTATAATAAAAAAAAATTAAGATTTATAATTTTATGAACAATTTGTTATTTTTCACATGATTTCAAATTTTAAAGCTTCTTCTTTTGGCAAATAAAAAAGTTTGTTATCAAAAATGGCTTTGATTGGAACTTTGTGGCATCTTAAACATTCATGAATCGGTGGTAAATGTTCATTTCTTATTCCATAAATAACTGGATTATTCCAAGTATCAGAAGCTATTTTTAAACACTTCGAATCGTTAAGTAAAGCGAGGAGATCTTCACCAGTTTTATCTAACGTAAACATGAATATATCAAATTGTCTAAACTAAAAGTACTTTTATGAAACGTTTGAAAACTTAATTTAATAAAAAATATTCTTTTTAAATTATTATTACTAGCAATAAAAATGTTCCACTTTTTTTCCAATCGTCATCCAATCCATAAAAGTTTAAATCATCTCTTTCCGGATGGCTTCTTTTCCACTTAAAATATGTTAAAAATAAACTATTAACGTGACTTGCATATGGAACTTCGTGTTCATAAATTTGTTGTAGCTCTTTAATTTGAAGGGCTCCCAATGGTTTCATTTTAATGTCACCCATCATTCTAAAAAAATTATAATACAATATTATTTAAAATATAAAAATTGATTTTGTAGTAAAACTAGACAGGTTAAGTTTGAAAGTTTTAAAATCTTGCTTCTTGATTCTTATTAAAGGTTTGTCCTAGTGATGGAACGAATAGTGAATTTGCGAAAAGCCGGATACCGGATATTCGGCATCCCCTTCGGCCAGATATCCGGCCATTATGGTTATAATTTCTGGTACATTTCTAAAGTGATACCCTACATTGCCACATTATTGCGATATTTGAACACAAATGAACTCAATAAGAAAACTGATATGTTATGTCAACTTATTTGGATCCAAATGAACTTTTTGATGCTGATTTAACTAACGAAGCAACTCTAAAAAGAGGATACTTTACTTAATAATTTGTGATATTTCCACAAGGATCCTTCAAGAAATGAATTTTATAGCGAATTTTGAAAATTATCGATGAAAATTGCAACATCGAAAATTTTATCAAAACTTCAAATATTGCTTTCTCAAAAATTAAAAGTTATTTTTCAAAACGGGTTAGTTCATTGGAAAGAGGACACTTTAATTACCAAGAAATGGATTTAATACGAATTTTTAAAACTTAATCGGCGAAAATTGCAAAATTTGCAAAAACTGTCGACTATTTTAAAAATTTATTTCTCAAGAACTAAAAGTGATTTGTCGAAACGGCTTTTTGCATTAAAAAGAGGACACTTTAATTAATAATTGGCGATATTTCCACAAGGATCCTTCAAGAAATTAATTGTATAACGAATTTTGAAAATTATCGATGAAAATTGCAACATCGAAAATTTTATCAAAACTTCAAATATTGTTTTCTCAAAAATTAAAAGTTATTTTTCAAAACGGGTTAGTTCATTGGAAAGAGGACACTTTAATTAACACTTTGGGAAATTTTCGTACTCATATTCCAAGAAATGGATTTAATACGAATTTTTAAAACTTAATCGGCGAAAATTGCAAAATTCGAAAAAATTGTCGATTATTTTAAAAATGTATTTCTCAAGAACTAAAAGTGATTTTTCGAAACGGCTTGTTGCATTAAAAAGAGGATACATTAATTAATAATTAGTGATATTTCCACAAGGATCCTTCAATAAATGAATTGTATAACGAATTTTGAAAGTTATCGATGAAAATTGCAACATTTGCACATCGAAAATTTGATCAAAACTTCAAATATTGTTTTCTCAAAAACTAAAAGTTATTTTTCAAAACGGGTTAGTTCATTGGCAAGAGGACAGTTTTATTAACACTTTGGAAAATTTTCATACCCATATTCCCAGAACTGGATTTTATACGAATTTTTAAAACTTAATCGGCGAAAATTGCAAAATTATAAAAAATTGACGATTATTTTAAAAATTTATTTCTCAAGAACTAAAAGTGAATTTTCAAAATGCTTTTTGCATTAAAAAGAGGATACTTTAATTCATAATTGGCGATATTTCCACAAGGATCCTTCAAGAAATTAATTTTATAGCGCATTTTGAAAATTATCGACGAAAATTGCAACATCGAAAATTTTATCAAAACTTCAAATATTGTTTTCTCAAAAACTATAAGTTATTTTACAAAACGGGTTGGTTCAGAGGACACTTTTATTAACACTTTGGGAAATTATCATACTCATTCATTCGCTTTAATCAATGTAAAAGTAGTAATCAGTTTAGGAGGTACAGGTCTAAGAAATAAAAAGCCACCCCTGGAAGCTGCAACATCTCAACGCTTGTGGATTTTTGTAGTAATTTCCTCAAATCTTTGGGATAGAACGAAAGGAGCGTAGCCAAGAAGCAGTTCAAAATGGTCGATGATGCCGAATACACACCAACATTTAATGAAAAACTTAATCGCATATACCACCAATGCCCCAGAAGCGATGTGAAAATAATATTGGGAGATATGACTGCAAAACCAGGCCGAGAAAATATTTACAGACCAACAATATTACTATATACTTTACATCAAGATTATAATGATAACAGAACCAGACCTGTCATCTTTGCCTCATGAATTAATATGACTATTAGCAGCACATACTTCCCACATAAATGCATAGACAAATAACGTGGACATCACCAGGTGGGCAAAGTATAAATCAAATCAATCACATATTGATAAACTCAAAACATAGATCTAACGTACTCAACTACAAAAGCAAGGAGCTATCATTGACTCTGATCATTGTTTAGTGCAGGATGGGGCAGTCAAACAGCATTATTTAAAACTATTAAACAAGTATTATAAAACATAAATTTAATTTGTTTTGCAACAAATGTTAAGACAAAAGACGACATTTTATATAAAAGCAGAAAAAAGTTTCACATTTTGAATACATATTCAGTCAGGTAAACCGTATTCAATCATAATAAATACACATGACAGTTAAATCAACATGCTTAATTGGATGATGAATAACAAGGTTTTGCTGTGTGTGCAAGCACACCGCAAATTTCGCAAAATTTTCATTTACCGCTTCATGCTTCTGTTCCGAGTAGGAAAGCCATTTCTGTTTAAATTAATAAATAATTAAGTATTTATTGTACCAATACAGTACATTGTAACAGAATAATAATAGAAATTTTCTACGTAACTATAAAATCAAAAACAAAAACCATTAGCATAAAAGGCGCAATAACAGATAAAGATCTGGTTCAACTTACACTAAATGAAAAAAGTGTATATACAGGATGTTTCTGATAGTGGTGGCATAATTTTAATCACAAATTCTAGAATAAAAATGATGATTCGTGTAAAAATGTTTGGTCTAAACTAGTGATGTAACGGATATCCGCATCCGCAACTGCGGATATTCCGCATTGTTTTGAGGATCCGCATCTGCATCCGCATCCGCATATATTTTTACTGAGCTCCGTTACAATAAATAATTACTAATTACCAATTAATAATTTACTAATTACTATTAATTACAATAGAAATATTATTTTCATGAAAATTTTAGTACGTAACTTTTTTCAAAAACTCCGCATCCGTTAAATCCGCATCCAAAAATCCGCATCCGCTTACGCATCCGCAAAATTAGAATTAGAAAATCCGATTCCGCATCCGCATCCGCTAAACTCACATCCGTAACATCACTAGTCTAAACCCATAAATGACTATATCTTAGCCTTCAAAGTTAAGAAATTTTTAAACATTTTCCTAAATATTTATATGGTTTGTATTAGAAAGATAAAATTTGGCAAACAGTGCAATGTTATCATGAGAAATCGTTTAAGATCACTTTTGAAAATATGCAACATCAATAGTACATTTTTCCATCATAGTTCAGTTTTGGCATACTATACTCGGAACGGATGATCAACAATTTTTAATTCTTGTTTCTCAAATTAACGGTCATCAGTAAAAAGCATTTTTTCTAAAAACACAGCATCAATAGTACATTTTCCCATCATAGTGTAGCAAAACTGTACTCGCAACAGATGATTAGCAATATTTAATTTTGGCACAGTCGACAAATGGTATGGATACAATTGCTGTTCGTGTGGGACACGCCAAGCCGTACTTTTGGATATTCCGAAATGTCTTCTTATATCAACGTTTCAAAAATGTTTTCTTCTATTAACGATTGCCGTTATTTACATACTTTTTATAAATGCTTTTTATCAGGTTGTTTGCTTTTGGAAATTTTTTTGCAATATCATCTTGTCGCTGCGTTAACAAGATTTTTAAGGCCCATATTTGAGTTTAGGCCAAACATTTTTACAGGGATTGACATCATTTTTACACTAGTATTTGTGATAAAAATCATGCCACGACTTACAGAAACATCCTGTATAGTATCCACCTATGGAATTATGGCAGTAAGAGCAATTTAGAAGTAGAGCAACGATACCAAGACAAATTATAAAGGAGCATTGTCAATGCCCCTGGTATTGCAGAAATAGTTAGTCAGGCCGTTAGCGAAGGCCATCTCAATGGTTGCCATGATGTAGAAGCCATAAAAATTATCAATAATATGCACCAGATCAGAAACCTCAAGAAGATCAGACTCTCATTGTTTTGCTTGTTCTATTTCCAGTTTTTGTTCATAACAATCTACCCATCTTATTTCTATTTACATTCTGGTAAAATTTCCTCGTGTCCGACTGTATTCTTAGTTTCTCTAATTTCTGCCTCTCTCTTTTTCGGGTTGTGGGTGCCGTTTTCTTCCTTCCTCCTTGCTCTCCTCCTCCATTTCTTTGGTTCACGTTTTTTACATACTTTTAGAAATGTTTTTTATCAGGTTGTCTGCGATTGGGAAATTTTTTGCAATATCTTTCTACAAAGCACCCAAATGACAAGGACAAGCCCGTTGAATATTTTCAGGAAATATATAAAAAATTTCAAAATCGTTCAACTGTCGTTGCATCATTTAAGAAACTACACGCAACATACGAAGATGGATTAATTGCTAATTGATAGATGGATATACCTAAAATTTTAAAAACGTTGCCCCTTAGCGATAGCAAAGTAAAGCGACGAATTGATGAAATGGCAGTTAATGTTGAAAACAAACTTATAACTATTCTCCAAAACACTTCATTTTCCATGCAGTTGAACGAATCTACCATTGCGAATAACGATGCTTTATTGATGGCATATGTACGTTATTTTGATGAGAACAATACATTACCAGAAGAAATGCTATTCGCAATAAATCTACAAAAGGATTATCTTTATTTAATACTGTAAATACATAACATAAAAATTTCTTTGAATAATATTGTTGCATGTGCTACTGATGGAGCACCATCAATGGTAGGTGGCTATCGTGGGTTTGTTCCTTATTTGAAGCAGAAAGTGCCAAATGTTTTATGTATTCATTGTGTAGTGCATAGACAACATCTAAGTAGGAGTCTCTATTCATCATTAACTTTAATAATTAGAGCCGTGAACAAGATCAAATCCAATGCAAAGAACGCTAGAATGTTTCGGCAGCTTTGCCAGGATAATAATGAAGATTTCATTAAGTTACTTTTGCACACTTTTGCACATACTTTTACACATTTGTAGCATTATATGATAGTGTCATACAATTTTTGGAAAGACCAATCTGTGTCAACAATTAAAAGCAGTAAAGAATGATGCCTTCTACTTGGCAGATATTTTCAAGAGATTTAACGATATCAATTTGCAGCTTCAAGGAGCTAATAAAACCCTTATAGGATGCCAAAGTATTGTGCCATTATTTATTGACAAGCTTCAACCACTTCGTCATAATCTATTGAAGAGAGAATTTCATCAGTTTCCCCATTTATCATGTATAAAAGATGAGGATATTGAGAGATTCAGTAGCCACCTCAACGAACTTAAATTGGACATGGAAAAATGATTTGAAGATATTTTGAAATTAAAGGTATATGAACTGTTAGAAATTAGATATGATGAAGAAAGTAAACAAAAATTCGACAGTGGTGGATATGAAAACCTCTGGCAAAATAAGAAATGCCGGTCTTATATCCAAATATGTGGAAAATGGTATTCAGTTTATTGATACCTTTCCCTACCTCATACCTTGTGGAATCAATGTAATTTCTATTTATGCAAAGTATAAATAAAAAAATATACTTAACTATTGTAAGTTGTTTTATAAAGTTTATTCTGTCAAACTTAGCGAAAACCCGACATACGAAAGTACTTAGTAAGTAATTATTATTATATGCTTTAATTTGCTGTAACTCTGCTTTAGAAATTTTATAAAATTATTTTCCTACATTATATCTAAATCACCATTATTGTGAAACCGGTGGGCGGTTAGAAAATTTTACTACTAACAGAGATACAAAAGTAGGCGGTAGGTATATAAAGGTTGACTACTCCTGCACTAACGTATGGTGGGTAGTAATTTTATAGTTACATTTCCGCTTTACTTACAATTTGTTTTCTTAGATTGATAACTATAAGTCATGATTAAAGTCAAGTCAGACGGCAAAAGTGCTCAACATTACTTATCAACATTGTAACCTTTTAACTGCTTCCACAAATTACGAGAGATATTCAAATTACAATTCTGTTCCAGAAAGACACGCTTCTCCTTGCGAATGGTACTTGTAACTAAATTACGAAATTTCTTGTAATAAATAAAATGCCCAATTCATCCTATCGGATATACAGTGACGCGAATATTAGGTAAGGTTAGATTTATTAAAACCACCGGTTAAGGTTACGTGAGAGACCAAAACTGAGATTTATTGACGATGTGGTACGAAATATATATCTGAAGATGAGTTTCATAGAATCTGTTGCAACTGGACGGATCTTCTTTTAGGCCTATCATAGTAAAATTAATTTCTTAACATATGTGGAAATTAAGATAGAGTAATAACGCCAGTTAAAGTATCAATGGTATTAATCAGTTGAATTGAAATCGACAATTATTTCCAAACTCTTGACCAATACAGTAAAAATACCTTACATAATCAATGTTTGAATGCGTCATTATATCTGAATCATTTACTATTTTTTTCTATATCTCCCCAAATATTAAAAATTACAACAGTAGTCGAAAAATATTAATCAAGTAATAAGTAATAAATTTGAATCATTTATATACTATCTCAATATCTTATCAATATTAAAAATTACAGAGATATTAATTTAACGATAAATCTTACCACAAAAGTAAATATAAACGATTTCGACTTCAAGTGCACTGCAACGAAATAAACATAAAAAATTGCTTACAATTAGATTAGATTACACAATCTTACCGACAATAAAAAGAGGATGTTAAAAATAACTTGACATTGTTACATGGTACTTTTAAAATACTACTTTTGAAGTTATTTAAAAGAAGAAATTAAAATTTGTTAATAGATGAAGGACGATCAAAGATTAACTAAATTTTGTTACACACTCTCGGTTAAAACTGATAAAATAGCTTATATTGCAAATTAAAAACAAATTTATTTCACAATTAAATTTTTTTTACCAAAAAAACTAATATAACATAAACGTACAAGTATCAATATGTTTGAATCCAAGTTTTTCAAATAAAGCTTCTGAAACGGTATTTCCCACAACAATTCCACATAATGGGTTGATTCCATCTTTAGCGATTTCCAACGACATTTTTTTTACCATCAAAGATGCGTATCCTTTCCTTTTGTGTTCGGGCACAGTTTCTAAAACGATTAAAGTTCCCCAAAAATTTTGTAACACCCAAGAAATTAATTGGTCGGTTCCTTTTAAAAATAAACCATACGATTTGTTCATTTCAATATAGGTTTTTAAATATTCTTTGGAACCTGCGTGAGCATGAGGCCATAAGCTACAAATTAAATCGACGTGTGACGTTTTTAAATTATCAATATAAACGTGTTCAGGACAACTAAAATGTTACTTAATTAGAAAATTAACTAAAAAAGCAATTAATTCGTTACTTTATAACATATTTTAATGCTGCTTCTTTTGGTAACCAATACGTTTTATTTTCCCAAATAGATCGAATTTTTGGGAAAATATTAAGTTCATGTAGAGACTTGTAAAGGGCTGGTAAATGTTTGTTTCTTGTACCATATATATTTCTTGGGTATGGTTGTGGTTGAACGTTTAAAGCTTTAGATTTATTAAGTAAATTATAAAGATCTGTTCCGGTATCATCAAGTGTTGATAGAAATATATCGAACGATCTAAACTGTGAAAAAATATTTGTAACTATAATTTTTTGATTAAAAAATAAGGTATTAGGTAAATGACTAAATTTAAAATATAATTAATAATTTTTGGAATATATATTTCAAAAATGTTAATTATTGCAACGATACTATTTAACAAATCAATATACCAAAAATAAATTACTGTCTGGCAATACTGCGCAAAGAAATGATTTTTGGAGATCTCACAAAAGAGATCAGGTTAGAGAGAATCTAAATTGCCAACAAAAGATTATACAGTGCGCGGCAAAATTATGGAACATATTCAATAAATTGATAACAAATTTTTTTTGCAAAAATGGCGAAACGGGTCAATTTTGGTTAATCATAAACCATAACACACATTATTACACCATATTCACTTCCTGATAGTTATTTTTTTATGAGTTATGACGTCATCGAAATTTTTTTTAAAATTCTTTTAAAGGCAAGAATTTTTTTTTTTTTGTGAACGTAAAAATAGCATTACACATGGGTAACCATGGAAACGCTTTGTTTGGTTTTAATAATGTCTATTCAAAAACGTCAAAATTAGTTTAGTGAGTGTTTAATTGAATTGAAACAATTTTTATAGCGATTAATTCGTGTATTTTTAGATTGTTTTCTGTGTTGTAATTGTTTGTTTGTATTTTTTTTCTGTTTTATGTTGTTTTGTTTTGTATTAGTTATTTTACAAATTGTATTTTTTTTTCGAACAAAAAAAATAGTATTACCCATGCGTAACCATGTACTATCGCCCCAGCCTTATTTGCTGGGGCGATAAAAAATTCGCAAAAGCCTTATGTCAAAAAAAGGGAAAAAAATGTGAAGAAACGGTGCGTAAACGCATTAATGGTCGTAAATGGCTTAAAATTATTGAGACTTTCTATAATATTAAACGGTCAAAATGCCATTTTAAATGAGATTAGAAAAAAATATTACTAATGGAAATTAAGATACGATTTTTACATCGAATTTTAACTAAATTCTTTAACTTTACGAAGATATACAGTACAGAAACGTATTTTAAAATTAAGAAACAATTTTTTTCACTTATTAAAGTTCAATTATTTTATTTTAATGAATATATTTGACTATTTTATGAATTTTTAAAATCGACTACGTCATAACTCATAAAAAAATGATTATCAGGAAGTGAATATGGTGTCATAATGTGTGTTATGATTAATCAAAATTAACCCGTTTCGCCATTTTTGCAAAAAAAAATTTCTTATGAATTTATTGAATATGTTCCATAATTTTGCCGCGCACTGTAAAATATCTAACATTTAAGGAGTACTTCGCCATTTGAAAAGTTTGTTGGAGCTACTGGCACAATTAAATGATTTATCAAAATACTGAACCAAATATTCAAAGAAAATCGATGTAGATATCTCATCTTGACAGCGGCATAAGCAAAAATAAGATTGTTGTGGAAAATTAATAACTTTGTTGTTTCTTGATATAACTTCACCGATGAATAGGATATTAACAAAGCTAGTATCTTCTGCAGCTCTTCTTACTATTCTAGAATGAGGTATGGTATCGCAACCAGGGGCTGTAAGAGTTTGTATACCTACTTAACCCAAGTTAAGAAACAACTTTAATTTCTGCTTTGGTTGTACGACATCATTTTTACTTACAGTAATCTGGTAAACATCTATGCAAATTTGAACATAATTTATCTGAAATGTTTCGACACATAGACGCCATGTTTTATAAAAACCACTTTGGCAAGAACCTGAATTTTGATTGGACAAAACTTTCTCCTTCAAAGCTTTAACGATCATAGAAACAAACTCTCTACAGGTGTTCGGAACTACTTTGGCTTTATTATTAGAAATACTTCTGTGTTTACCACGTCAATCTCAATGAAAACACTTTATCAATTCATAAGAAGGAACATGAAATACTGCGCTGTTGTTTGATTGCTAATTGCTTCATGGACATCCTTTCAGGATATCAGTATCTTTGCGAATCTTTTATCCTTAACCGTTGGCATAGACGGTTTGCTTGTATATCAGAAACCCTAGAAGAAATAATCAAAACAACATCTTCTCAATAATCTTTTAGGCCAATATGAATTATATGTACTGGATTAATATACATGTTTTCCCTATCAAAGAGACTATTCCAGACATCTTAGACCTAGTTATAATAAAAAATATAAATTTCCCCATTCATTAATCAATCATCAATATGGACCAAATCCCAAAGTTCCTAGATTAATTATTGGGCATGTTAATTGGAAAAGTGTTAAAAATATTATGAGTAATCTAAACTTAGACCCCGCTCAACAAACGATGGAAAGTATAGACAAAAGTATGTATTAGATTATTAAGCAGCACTGCGATTATCAGTTTCGAGTTGATGTGATTAGTTGACGAACCTTGGCCGTCTAAATTGGATAAAATCATACATTTCTGCAATTACTGTCATATTAACCCGAAAGTGATCATCACATAGTTGCATGATTTTATCCAATTAATCCCTTAACTGATTAAAATGTGTAAAATTTAAATGGACCCTTGTTTGAACCTTTTTCCTCGGTTATCGAAACACTTCTCGATTCCGTCTTGACAAAAAAAAAGTAAATATAGTACTAATTTCTTCACTTTAGTACAGCTGACCTTTCGTGCAGTTCGGTTGCAGCTCTTTTCTTGTTCAGTTTTGAAGACGTTTGTGTTTAGTTTCAATTCGATTTTTGTTCCTTATATGGAAGGTACGTATTTTTATTGTTTTATTGTAGTATCTACAATTATTTAGCTAATGAGTTCTCCTAATTAATGTTTTTTATTCAAATACCATGTTTTCGGATACCGATACTGATAGTGATTATCAGCCAAACAGCGAGATTTCGGCAAGCGACGAAGAGAGTATTTTTTTTGAGGATATTGACAATCCAATATCAGCTCCACTACGTTTCCCCTTTACTGATACACCAGGAGCAGAAACTTCTGATGGCGGTATTGTCAGATATGCAGAACAAATCATAGCTAATTCAATAGCAAAAACCTACTCACGTTTGAAGGGTTGGACAGCAACATCCGACAATGAAATTTAAGTTTTCTTTGCCATTATAATAATTGAAGGCATAGTAAAAAAACCGAATTTGGAGTGGACAAAGCGGCAGAGTATAGGACCCCATTTTTCGCTATTAAAGATTTACGCTCTTGAGAAAGTTCATTCATTTTGAAGAAATGACATCCATTTTAACCAATTTACCATTACCTGATTATGCGTTTTGCCGAAATGCTTACACCAGAAAGAGATATTTCCATAGACGAAAGCTTATTGATTTATAAGGGGCGACTAAGCTGGAAGCAATTCCTTCCAAACGCGCTAGGTTTGGAATAAAAAGTTTTTTACTTTGTGAATCGAGCTCTGGATATGTATGTATATGGAAAATTATCATATACACAGGGAAAGACACTTTATTGCTAATCGAATATAACGATTTGCCTAAAAGTTCACTAATTGTTATGACTCTTATAAAAGATCTGCGAGGGAAAGGATATTGTCTAACTACTGATAATTTTTATAAGTCTCCTCAACTAGCAGATCTATTTTTAACACACAAAACATATACATACGGGACATTGAGGTTGGGGGTAAGGACGTTCCAGCAAATTTGAAATCAACTAAATTAGACAAAGGAGGCATTATTTGCTGCCAACGAGGAAAAGACATTCATAATTTGGGAATGGAGGATTTAGTCAAAGCAAATAAAATGGTGAAAAAACCTAAGGCCATTTTAGATTATAATCATACAATGGAAGGTGTTGATCGCGCCGATCAACATCTCACAGATTAACCAACTTCAAGAAAGAGAGGGAAAAAGTTTTACGTGAAGATCTTCCTTTATTTATTGGATAAAACTATTTGGAACTATTGAGCTTTATAGAAAAAGTTGCCAGTAACAACACCAAATCCACTGCGATTGACGGACCGTCACTTCCCGGATTTATGCCCTCAACGAAAAATAAACAAAATGCAAGCAGAAGATGGGTTGTTTGCTGTTCTAAAAAGGACGAACGAGGGAAGAAAGTCAGGAGAGAAACAAGATACTGCTGTAAGGATTGCAATGTTGGACTTTGTGTAATTCCATGTTTCAAAATATATCATACACAGAAATATTTTAAGCTTTTTTCTTTTTCTTGAAAAAATCATTACATTTGTTATTTTTAACAAAAATCTGACCAAAATAATCAATAAAAAAATAGACAATTTTATGAGCATACTTTCTAAAATGTAACAATCAGTTGAGAGGTTAAGCCGAGGTCGCTTGCGGCCAAGGCTTTACAATTAACCTCATATGAACCCGAAACTGATCATCACTACATCGGCTTTAAATTAAGCCATGACCCGATCTGTTGACTAATTAAACCAGGGTTGCTTGCGGGTGAGGTGATTCAGTGGCTGAGATTATATTAATACGAAACTAATGATGATCAGTTTCAGGTTAACATAATATTAATTCTAGAGCCTCGGCTGCAAGTAACGGCGGTTTAATCTTGCAAAATATATTGAAAGCTGTTACAACATTTATGTACATTACCAAACCCCATCATGGATATAATAAAAACAAGAGATATTAGAAACAACCTCAACTGAAACAACAATTAAACCAACTCGCACATGCCATACGCAAAGAAATGGAACTGTATTCAAAAAGAACAAAACTTCATTTCAACTTTTTAAGTCGTCAATCTGAAACTGCGGAAAACAGGGAAATCTTCTGGCACCAGATGTGAATCACGTTATAGATCGTATAGATACAGTGCGTTTTTGTCCAATGTTCTCTAGACATGGTTAATTAGTGCCGGGAAAATTTCATGAAACACCTGTATAACACGAACCATCTAGTACGCAATCGATCAAGATAACCAACAAATTCACAATTTTAGGTAACATCTTAAGCTTATACATACATAAATGAAGATAATCAATAGTCTCGAAAATTACCGGCGAGACGATAGCAACAAACTTTTTCCCTTATATTAGTAAGATATGGGCTCTAGTTCTCGGGTCCATATCTTCGTTATCTAGAAAGATAACGAAAAACTAACACACGGTTGGAAAGCTTGGTCTTTTCTCTATCTTAAATCTCTATCTTTTCATCTGCCGATATGTTGATAATGAGAGCAAAAAAAAAGAAACGTCGCACTGCATTCAAGTTACCTCAAAATTACCAAACTTCACGGCCTTGTGCAGCCGTTATCGGATGGAAATTCAACAAATGGTTTACATATTCGGAAAGAGCTGACGTTGGACTATCTTATTCCGAGTTTTCGTCCGCCAATATCTATCAGCGACTGTAAGAAAAACCCACCTGAAATAGCCCCTACCGATGACAACACGAAAATATTTCTTGCACTCATTACTTTCCTATTTGACAGGGACAAAACTCTACAACTATATTCAACTTATGGGAAATTTCCTGCTATTTCCAATGGTGTGTGTGTCATACCGTGATCACACGTTTACACAATCCTTTTTTCTGACTAAGAACTACCTAAAACACGAATTTTTGCCGCGGTCACCACGCTTGGGTCAATAACTCTCTTATCTGACGGGGAGAAAACTCTAAAATTATATTCATCTTATGGGAAATTTTCTGCTCTTTTCAACGGTATATAACATCCCAAGCACACGTTGGCACAATCGTTTTTCAGTCCAGCAACAAACTTTTCCCTTGTATTTCCGTTTACTTTTCGGGCCAATATTTTCGTTATCTAGAATGGGTGGATAACACGGCTGGAAAGTTTGGTCTTTTCTATATATGCCGATATGTTGATAATAAGAGCAGAAAAAAATAAGAAACGACACACTGCATTTAAATCACCTAAAAATTGCCCAACATTAAGGACTCGTGTGAAGTTGGCCATAGATTTCAGCCATAGATTTTAAACTGAAAAAAATACGTGATCGGGGTATTTAATCGATCTAATTTCAACGGAGGAAAAGAAAATTTTCCTAACCATTTCCTATAGTCCAGGAAAATCTATTTTCTTCAAACTTTCGCAAAATTCGGCCCGTTCGGGGTTTTTAATCGATCTAATTTCAACGGCATGGTATTTCTAGTGGCCTCTTGTTTCAGATTCGAAAAGAAAATTTTCCTAACCATTTCTCATATTCCGGAAAAATCGATTTTCTTCAAACATAAGCAAATGTCGGCCTGTTCGGAGTTTCTAATTGATGTAATTTTAACGGCATTGTATTCTTCTTAAAGGAAAAAGTGGTGTGCTTGAAATACGAGTCTTCGATGAATGGTTTAACAAAACACGGGCATACATACATAAAAAAATTTTGGTAACATGAAATGTATTGGCTGTAAATCGCTGGAGGCTACGAAATAGAAATAATATACTACTTTAAGAAAATCAGGACAATTGCAATCAGTATAAATATTAACAACAGTTAAAGAAAACCAATTATTTTTTAAGTCAATTTGGACAGACGTTTTTACACCATGTTTCATATATGCCGATGTGGACAAGTTTATTAAATAATATAAATGAAACACAACCAGAAGGAAGGATATATATAATATAGATAAACAGTGTGTCCCAGGATAGATGTTACAAGAGGTATAATGACTTAAAAAATTTTGAATTTTATTTTAAGGCGGAGGAATTAAGCCCTGCTTGGTGTGGAGAAAATTTTAAGTATACTTTCATATTTTGAAAATCAACTTGGCCTTGATACTGAAGCGAAAACTATTTTTAGTTCAGGTAAAGTAAGCTTTTTGTTCCTGATACGGCAAAATATCATTAAGAAAAGTTGTTCAGAATGAGAAATTGTGGCGCTATGCAAAATTTCACAAAGATCTACCTACATTGATTAAACCACCATATTTTAGAAAAGAATTTTTGTTTGCTGATAGAAAGACACGCAATTTACTTCCAACACGATAGATGCTCTGTACATTTTACAGCACGTGTAGCTGAATGGTTAAATTTAATATTTCGAGAAATGATTATATCCAGAAATGGTCCAATTGCGTGGCCTCAAAGGTCTCCCGACCTTACAATATTAGATTTCTTTCATGTGATCGCCTTAAACAACTAGTTTTTGCTTAAATCCGCCAAAAGGTTAAAAAAATCTGTCAAAATTTAGGGTACCATCACCCTTAATCAACCCTTTGAAATGCCTCAATTGAGTTCAATTTGCTACCAATTAATACCCTTGGTACACTCATAACGTATACCAAATTTGGTTTTTCTAGCTTAATTTATTACGAAGATATTAAACTTTTTAAAAATTTAAGATCCAACTTTGAAGGCCTATAATTCGTCAGGTGTAAAACTTAATATAGAGGTAAGTTACTTTAAATCACCTTAATTTATTGTGCTCTACATGTCCCTGCTCTGTGTCGGTTCTTATGTGTATCAACACATACAACGCAACACAACAATTTGGTTGAAAACTGTTTCAACATTATTAAAAGCAATATACTCAATCAAAATGAATTAAGAGACAAACCGTCCAGATTTATTCTTAAAATCAGAAATTATGTTCTAAGTAAACGAAGTCAGATAAAATATTAAAAAAACTAAATGTGCAACGCGCGCACGACAGCCTGCAAAAGAATTTGAAGAATCTTGGGGAAAACGAAAAAAAGAGACGTACTCAAAGAAAGTTAAAACAAACCTGCTAAAGAAACTGTTTTATATTAATTAAATTCCTAATGCAAAAAAAAAGAGAAGTAGAAAATATTATGAACGGGTTTTTACCAAAAACAATTAGCAAATTCCAACAATATTTTTTCCCTATATTACGTAGTAGTCATTGGATGCTAATGGTGGCAAATGTTGAAGATCAGCAAGTTTTATTTTTTGATCCAATGACTACTGAAACTAGAAAAGCACAAACTTATTATAATCAAGTGTCCAATTGATTGTTGGATTGAAGAAATGGTTAGGAAAATTTTCTTTTTGGATTTGAAGCAACAGACGACCAGGAATACGATGCAGTTGAAATTAGATCGATTAGAAACCCCGAACAGGCCAAAATTTGCGATTGTTTGAAGAAAAACGATTTTCCCGGTATATAAGAAATGGTTATTAAAATTTTCGTTTTGATTCTAAAGCAAGAAACGACCAGGAATATAATGCCGTTAAAATGGGATCGATTAGAAACTCCGAACAGGCCGACATTTGCTTATGTTTGAAGAAAATCGATTTTACCGGAATATAAAAAATGGTTAGGAAAATTTTCTTTTCGAATCTGAAACAAGAGGCCACTAGGAATACCATGCCGTTGAAATTAGTTCGATTAAAAACCCCGAACGGGCCGAATTTTGCGAAAGTTTGAAGAAAATCGATTTTACCTAAAAAATTTACCTAAAACCACGAATTTTCGCCGTGACTAAACCATGTTGTGGTGAACAACTTTTTTGTTTGAACGTGTAAAATTTGTTGCCAACTGCAGGCTCTTTTTCAGGAGCGTTTTTTTACAGACGTCGACAGATATTGACGAACGAAAACTCGGAATAAGATAGTCCAAGGTCAGCTCTTTCCGAATATGTAAACCATTTGTAGAATTTCCATGTGATAACGGTTGCACAAGGCCGTGAAGTTTAGTAATTTTGAGGTAATTTGAATGTTTTCTAGATAACGAAGATATGGGCCCGAGAAATAGGTGGAAATATAAGAGAAAAAGTTTGTTGAACAAGAGAATAATAAATTTTAGAATCACATTTACCCAACATCCTATATTTGGAAATTACATTTACCTTCATCAAAAAAGTTCCACTTCTCCTCCAATCATCATTTAAGCAAAAAAATATTAAATAATCTCTTTCTGGATGAGATTTCTTCCATTTAAAATAAACTTTTAATAAACTATTTACATTGCTGGCATAGGGTACGTGATTTCTATAAATTTGTTGTAATTCTTTTAACTCTACGTCTTTTAACACTTTCACTTCATATTCACACATCGTTGCAACTGGTTGCAACGCGAATTTAATCAATTAATGAATTGATTAAATTCGCGAGATTATGCTTAAGTGATAAATTACTGAAAATTTAAGTACGTATACAACCAACTATGCAAACAATTTCAAAGAAAAAAAAAGGTTTTTTTAAAGTGGTGTAACGTGTAAAAAAGTTTACATAGTTTATTTGATCTAAGTTTTGTTAAAACAACATAAAAAAAAGTCGGGGATTTTCGTTGAAGGAGATACGAAATGCCGAAGTGTTTGTTAATGCGATTAACCGGGGATTTTTCAGTTATGCAATTACTATGATAATAATTACAGTAGTGGATGATTAAAATCTTGAAGACAAACAATTAATTAAATAACAACAAAATTACGAAGGAATATCTTTGTTTAAAATCGTCAAATACATTATCTTTAATCAAAATTTATTTGGTGATATAAATAAATAATCTTGATATCAAAGTGACCCTTAAACAATTAATTAAATTATTTAAATTTGACTCATAATAATTTTCCTAACGTACTTGGAGTGTTTATTTTCGATAAATTTATATCTTTAGTAAATACAACATGAGTATTTTATTTATTAATTTTCCAAATTAACAAATAAATATATAAAATATTTTTTTTTAATAAATCACAAAGAAAAATTAAGAATGAACCTAACATAAATCTTTAAGGTCTTCAAATCTTAAAGTTTAAGGTCAGTTCACCATAACAAACAAAGAATAACACAAAAATCTTTTTCAATGTGCTAAGCGTTTTGATAAAGGCTCCGAACTGAATACATATATAAATTGATAAAGAGTGATGTGCCAAAGTTAGTCGTAATACTACAAGCTTGCGATACGTTTCTCAACGAAAGGTGCGTGTAATGAATGTGTTTACTTTCGCGTTTGCCTTTTTGGCATGCTCCTTGCATCTCAGCGAATCTTGGATCGTTGACCCTGGGCCTACAGTTATAGCAACCAAGGGTGAAGTTTGGCCTAAGCCGCAAGGTCAAGAAAAATATGAAGAATATTTCCATTTGGATAAGTCGCAATTCAAATTTTCAGTAAGCTAAATATTCAGTATAATAATAATACGAAAACTATAAATTGAACGTTAACCTGCTTACATTAGCATCTAATTATGATTAAAAAAAGTCGATTTCCATCTTCCACTTTTATTTTTAGAGTACTGGAAAAACTTGTTCGCTTCTTGAAGACGCAACAACAAGATACTACAAATTAATCGAAAAACTTAGCTCTATTGCAAAAAAATACGAAAGAAAAATCAAAAACAAAAAGTTACAGAAAGGATCTTTAGGAGGACTTTCAACGTTAGAAATTAATTTAATAAACGCTTGTACTGGTTCAGAATATCCCAGTTTAAATAAAGAAGCTGAAAAGTGTAAGTTACAAATTAAAAAAAAATCTACTAAAACAGCATTTTTGCTTATAATATAATACAAAATAGCAAACGTTAAACACACAAACTATTTTTGCAATCATAAAAATTCTGGAATTTGAAACATTCGCACAAACTTATAATTCAAGTTCAAATTTTATAAATAGTACTAATAACAGCTTTACAAAGCTATCTTGGTCGGTTAATTGAGGAAAAAAGGAGTGCAATAGTAAATTCTTGAAATGAGATAGGCGAATTAGTAACATCCGCAAAAGTAGGTATAGCGGTGGGCAAAAAGTTATCGTAATATTATATCTTCTCAGAAATACAGGTCAGGTGAAATTGTAGATGCTTTGATCAATTAAAGCGAGGTTGCTTGCGACCGAGGCTCAGTAATTAACATTATATCTATCCAAAACTTATCATATTATAACTCCTTGGCCGTAAGCAACCTCGGCTTTATTAGATGAAATTGTGGATCTATTGACTAATTAAAAGCTCGCTTGTGGCCGAGATATAATGATTAATATTATATCAACCTAAAACTGTGTATAATTTTGTGAAGGCTTGGCTGCAAGCGTCCTCGACTTTATCAACTGGACTTTTGACTAATTAAGCCGAGGTCGCTTACTGCCAAGGTTCGGTGATTAAAACTATATTAACCTAAAACTAGTTATCATATTGTGGGGCCTGGGCTTTATCAGATACAATTGTGGATCTATTGACTAATTAAGCCAAGGTCGCTTGCGGCCAAGGTCAATGATCAGAGGGAGGCAGTCAAACTACTAGTGATGTAAAGTTTAGTTACTTTTTAGTATTTGTAACTATCCGTTACTTTCAGAAAAAGTATTCGTTACTTTGTACTCGTTACAAGTAATCGTTTGCGCTTGAGGTTCCAGTACTAGTTTGCGCTCGAAGTTCGATTACTCGTTTTAGTTGGACATACTTATATGAATTTATTTTATATTACACTTATTTTTGAAAACAAATACTGTACGTATATTATATTGTGTTTGTTACGCTATTATGCACTGTGCACTAATGTCAAAAAATAGAGTGTAGGTTATGGGATTTACTTTTTCACTGCATATTATAACGAAGCATTTTTCTTAATTATTATTATTTAATTATTAATAACTTACGTTTCACTTATTATATAACAAAAATATTTGAAAGTAGTAACACATTAACAATGGAAAACAAAACTTCTTCTATAAAACAAGCAATAATAAAATAAAATAAAAATATTAAAACAACAATAAAAGATATTACAGCTTATTATTGCAATATAAAAATAAATTTTGTTGCACATTTCGACTTTTAAGTCAATTTCGCCTATCCATCAATACTTGGTCTTTGGAAAATGTAACTGTTAGATCCAAAGTAACTGGTACCGATGTGATACGGTAACAGTTACTTCGGATCTCGCGGAGTAACGAGTACTCGTATAACGAATTGTTACTTTTTTTACATCACTACAAACTACACTATTTAAAACTATTAAAAAAGTATTATAAAACATAAATTAAAATTTTATTATAAAATCATTACACCATTCCCTCCTTTAACTATTTATTTCTAAATCATTACAAACGACGTTTCGGGACTATTCCCATCATCAGGTTTAATAATTTTTGTCATCTAAAGAAACAACAATTCAATGATTTACGTAACTACAATTATTTTACAATAAAAACATTTATTACACCTAAACCACAATATGAGAATATGTTTCTTATCAAATACTTTTTTCAATTTTATCATTGATCGTCTTTTAATTTCTCCCCATCTCATCACGCTTACACATCACGTCTTTTTGAAAATTTCTCAACAAGATCAAATTTCAATTTTATTCTTTGTTGGAAACCAGTCCATCTCCCTCACTCTACTATATAACTACTAACAATTTATTAAAAATATCTGCATAATGCGCCCCTATTCGTCGTACGTCAGTTTTAAAATTAACTGCGTTATTAATGTTTTTTGTTATGAAAATTGATTCCAAGTTTTTTCTTATTAGTGCGTTTTTATTTGTTGTTAATATTTTGGGATTTTCAAAATCAAATTTGTCAGTTAAAGTTACCGAATGTTGGCACAAAGTTGTTGTATACGTTTTTTGAGATGTTGTTTAAATTCCCCTATGTAAATTTTATTGCAGTCTAATGTCTTGATTTTATCCTTCATATTTGATATTAAGGTGCCAATTTTGTTGTTATTATATTTAGCAAATTTTATTTCGGATATTTCATACCTCTTAAAAACATTCGTTACCTTATTTGTTAATGTTGGTATACATTTAATTTTACAAAATTCTTTATTATTATGAGTGCTTTTATTGTTAGTATTTCCCTGAGTGCTAAGATCGCTTTCTGGAACATTCTGCCCTGTATTAGTTTGTCTAGGTACGAATTGTGTAATTGGAGATTGTCTAATAGTTAGTTTATTCTTTTTATTTATATCTCCTTTTACATTTTCTGTATTTGTATTCTTCGCCCTTTGTTGATCATCTTGTGGGGTTATATTATTTGTTTTGACTTTCAATCAATTAATCAAGTGTTTGGGATAAAAATTATTTAACAAAATATCATATATTTTGAAAAAACACACTAATAAGAAAAAACTTGGAATCAATTTTCATAACAAAAAACATTAATAACGCAGTTAATTTTAAAACTGACGTACAATTTATTTTAAATAAATTAGTAATATAATAGAGTGAGGGAGATGGACTGATTTCCAACAAAGAATAAAATTGAAATTTGACCTTGTTGAGAAATTTTCAAAAAGACGTGATACATATTGTGGTTTAGGTGTAATAAATGTTTTTATTGTAAAATAATTGAATTGTTGTTTCTTTAGATGACAAAAATTATTAAACCTGATGATGGAAATAGTCCCGAAAAGTCGTTTGTAATGATTTAGAAATAAATAGTTAAAGGAGGGAATAGTGTAATGATTTTATAATAAAATATGTTTTTGGGGAATAAATCCACTTTTTAGTTTCTGCTGTATTTTAATATATTCAAGTATAAACGATTAAATCTTTACATGCCATGACCGTTAACTCGCGTCTTCGCCATGACACCCGCTTCGTGTTGTGCGCAATGTGCACCGTTTTCAATACTACCAACCCAACAGTACTCAAAACTTAAAAATATTAATGTTACTAACTCAACAAAATAATAAAAGAAAACCTCCACACACAAGAAATTATAAATTAAAAATTTTTTTTTCAAAGCTGAGATTTTATGTAAAACAAAAAAGATCATTTTTTAAATATTACTTCAGATGATGGCGACCATCATTTCATTGGCTAAGTCTTCCAGGAAAATTATCACTGACACGTCGTAGCATCGCTAACATTATTGCACGAATTTCATCTTCATCCACACTTTTGAGTCTTGTATTGTTGCTGGACGTAACTCATACATCTTAGACCTGAGGTGCATTTAGCCGCACGGTTTGAAAAAAATTCTCTAAGTTCAATGTAACCCTAGCTGTGTGATAAGTTGCTCCATCTTGTTAGCACTGAGCATTCTAATTCATAGGTACCTTTGTGGAATGAAAAAAGTTTCCAGCATTCGAATAATTATGCTATTCGTTTTCAGGGGCCCAGTGGCGTAATTTATGTTTTTAACGCATTCGCTGAGGTGAAAATGACCTTCATCATTAATGCATAAATTATCGATGAACTGTGGGTTGTCTTCAATCATCTGTAGCATGCGATCATAAAAACCAAGGTGAACAGGATAATCTCGCTGTGTCAAAGCATGGACTATTTGAATCTTGTACGGATTAAGGTGTAAATCATTATACAGTTTATACATTTACAGGATGTTTCTAAATTGATGCGAAAGATTCACATTTTTCACTTTTTGTTCAAAACCTCTTCTCCTCCAAGTTATAGCTCTCTAAAGTTAAGGGAAAAAATATGCAACTTTCTTATCTCTAGACATTTTACATCTAACAAATTGTTAGTTTGATCACAAAAAATAAAATAATACCGAGATCAATTTGGCGTAACTTCATTTCTTTGACTAATAATAACCAATCTCTGAATTAATTCACTTGAGTCTATGTATTATTTTATTTTTTGTAATCAAACTAACAATTTTAGGAGAGAATGTCAAGAGACAAAAAAGTTGCGTATTGGATCCCTCTATTTTAAATTTCTATTTAAAATTGAAAAATGTAGACTCATTAAAAATGTTTTATAGGTGTTGATTTTTTCAGCCTCTTGTAATAACATTTTCGGGTTATAAAAATCGTCAAAAAGTGTCATTTTATTGGCAACAGTTATCTGCCAAATTTCTCCATAATGGGTTTATTAAATAGAAACAATTTTCCCCCTAACTTTAGAGTGCTGTAATTCGGTGGGGAAGGGGTTATGAACAAAAAGTTATATGAAAGACCTCTCTTAATTTTTGCTGAAAAATCACTCCTTGATATCTTTCGCATCAATTTAGAAACAGCCTGTATAATATTCTTCTTACTGATCTAAGTAGTCGAAAGTCCTAGAGCAACGCTATGACGCCTTCCACTTTGCAGATCTTTGAGTATTTCTTACAATTATTGCTACTATACAATCTGTATATTCTCGCGAGTCTTAACAGTTCTTGCACTACCGCTTTTTTCTTAGTTAGTTTGGCCGACTGTTTTTAAGTTAAGAGCCCAAATACAAAAATGGGGTAAATGAAAATGTCGGCAGAATTCGCGTTGTGCTTGCATATAACTTTGATCATTTTCTAAATAAACTGTAGCAGCAAAACTACTTTGTTCACCAGTCCAGTTAAACATATTGACTTAACTGTCAAATGTATTGAATATAATAATCACTGCCAATCAACTCATTATAAAAGCCTTGTACAGTCGTACAGTACGGTTTAACAGACTCAATATTCAAAAAGTGAAACTTTGCTACTTCTATATAAAATTTCATCTTTTGTCTTAAGGATGGAACCTGGTTTAGACGGTCTAAAATTACATGATATTGTACATTTTTAGTGCGTTTTTATAGTTTCTATTGGAAATAAAAAGATTACATTGAAAATAATCAAAAAATGCAGTTTCGAAAACATCGCGTTTAAAGATTTTTCCAAAAAGGGTTGTTGTATTTTTAAATCTCTAATCCGTTGTCGCAGGCTAATCATCTATCCTATCCTATACAATTGCCCTTCAGCTTCTTAAAAAAACTCGTTTTGAGAAATTAAATTGGCTCTCCGGACTATACGAACTTCTTTTGTGCTACTAATGCTATGGCGTTGTTGTCTTGCGCAGCTGATCGTACATATTCGCAAACTTTCTTGCTTGTATTCCGATTGTCATATTTAAATCATTCACCATTTTTAGTATACTTCCATAACCTTCATTGAATACACAGGCATATACAGGAGGGCGTCCCACATAAGCGGCAAACGGAAAATATTTGTATACATACAGAATGTTCCATAACGACGTACCGAAATAAACATATGTTATTTTAAATGGAATGATATAGTTTTTATTGCGTGTTCTGATTCTAGACACCAAAATATGTTGACTTTGATAAGATATATTGATACTTACCGCTTTTAGTTTTTGAGTTATTTTAATTAGAAGCTTTGTTTAGCAATTAACAGTTTAGCATTCTTTAAATCTGAATTTCTTAGAGACTGATAGAGCTAGAAAGTTAAAATTTGTGAGAGTTGCTGCTTGGATATTCTTAAATAGAGTGACATTGGCTACATCGGTTCAAAAATGTAACTATTGTTTTATCATATTCAATTGCAAAAAAATAGAAAGTTTTAAATGGAACACCCCATTTAATGGCCGCAAGCGGTCTTGGCTATATCAAATGGGCCTATAAATCTTTTGAGTAATTAAGTCGAGGTCTCTTGTGGCCGAGATTCAATGATTAATATTATATCGACCAGAAACTAGTTATCATTTTATAGTACTGTGGCTTTATCAGATAAAGCTGTAGATGAAATACCTATATACACGAATACTTTTCTTCTGCACGATAAGCACTCCGTTAAAATAACAGAGACTCCATATGTACCGCCCACCATTTGCTACAGCACATTTAACCTTCACTGATTAAGATAGATTTGTCAAATTATTATACTAATCTTAATTATTCTTCATGTTTAGATAACCTATCTATTCCATCGACATCTGGTGGTAAAACTCAATTAACTGCTGATAACATTTGGGGTATTTTAAGAGGATTAGAAAGTTTCAGTCAACTTCTGGTTCTAGACACCAAAATATGTTGACTTTGATAAGATATATAGAGACTTACCGCTTTTAGTTTTTGAGTTATTTTAATTAGAAGCTTTTTTTAGCAATTAACAGTTTAGCGTTCTTTAAATCTGAATTTCTTAGAGACTGATAGAGCTAGAAAGTAAAATTTGTGAGAGTTGCTACTTGGATATTCTTAAATAGAGTGACATTGGCTACATCGGTTCAAAAATGTAACTACTGTTTTATCATATTCAATTGCAAAAAAATTGAAAGTTTTAAATGGAACACCCCATATTTCAGTACATATCCCTATACCTATCAGTTGGAGTTTTTGAGATATTGTGGAATTAATGAAAATCATGCAGAGTGGCAGATCTTGTCCATTTTTTCATGAGTAGGCCATAAAATAAGACGATGAAAATACGTGATTAAGCATTAATAATGATTTAAAAAAGAAAACGATAAATAATTCTCAACCAAACGTGACCAAACTTTATTTATAAGTAGGGCATGGAACTTTTGTAACAAAACAATACGATTTCCCCCTCTACTTGTTCTTAGTGGCGTCCTAAACAACAAGTCGGAGGCGAGTTGATTAATTTGTCATTGTTAATTTGTTTTTTTTTTAAATAGGATCAAGTCAACGCTTACTACTTGTGACATTACAAATAATTATGGCGGCATCGCTTGAAAGCTGTCATACGCATATATTTCATGCCCTACTAATAAAAAAAATAAACATTATCTGCTAGTTTTTGCACGATTTTGATTAATTCCGCTATATCTCAACAACTGCAACAGATAGATATAGAGATATGTATGGAAGATTTGTAAAGAATTAAACTCTCTATCTGATAAGCATAATCAAATGTGGGGAGATCCACTTAAAAGTTTCGACATTTTTCAAATTGAATATAATAATAATAATAACAAATGCCTTTATTGATGACCCTTAATGTATTACAGAATAAATCAAATTAAATTACCCAAAATAAACTAATCCAAAAACTACATCACATTCAAAATTAAATCGTTCAAATTTAAAACTATTCAAAACTAAACTAAACTATATAAGTTACAATAAGGGCCCAAAGGGTGCGATATCAGGCACCCGATATCGAACCACGAGAAAAACAAAAATGGTAAAACAGTAGTTATATTTTTTGATATATTTGGAACATCCTATATAAGATAGACTGACGTAGCCAATGGCGCTCTATTTAAGGACATCCAAGCAGCAACTATCACATATTTTAATTTTTTAGCTCCCGTACAATGAGGCAATGTTGACAATTTACAATGCTGAATTTAAATGTTTTGGAGCTGTCTTTCAGCGGCTGTAGCTGATAAAGTACTTCGAATTTTAACATAAAACGTTGGTAACATATTTTCATCTATCGAATAAGATGGATTTCAAAAAATAGGTTTTTTAAACTTCCAAACCACGTTTCCACTTAATATTTGATACAAAAAAATGTTTTATAATACATTTGTAACCCTTTATCGGCCTTTAAAAGTTTGCCCGTTAAAGGAGTACAAAACTTATCGTAACCATACGGTCACTAAAACCGATAAAGGGTTAATATATACATATTTATAACACTCTGTATTACATCAACCTGAATCTAGTCATCATTTTGTGGCGCCTCGGCCGCAAGCAGTCTTGGCTATATCAAATGGGCCTGTAAATCTTTTGAGTAATTAAGTCGAGGTCTCTTGTGGCCGAGACTCAATGATTAATATTATATCGACCATAAACTAGTTATCATTTTGTAGCACTGTGGCTTTATCAGATAAAGCTGTAGATGATGGATATACACAAATACTTTTCGTGTGCACGATACGCTATTGCTACAGCACATTTAACCTTCACTGATCAAGATAGATTTGTCAAATTATTATACTAATCTTAATTATTCTTCATGTTTAGATAACCTATCTATTCCATCGACATCTGGTGGTAAAGCTCAATTAACTGCTGATAACATTTGGGGTATTTTAAGAGGATTAGAAAGTTTCAGTCAACTTCTTTACATCAATAATGGCGATGTTAATGTAATTAAACAATTTCAATAAAAACATTCCTTTTAACACATTTTTTTTAGATCTATCTTAACGCAACAACAATCAATGATTTTCCAAGATTCGGTCATAGAGGAATCCTTTTGGACAGCTCAAGACATTTCCAACCTTTATCAATTATTTACAAATTATTAGATGCGATGGAGTACAATAAAATCAACGTATTTCATTGGCACATCGTTGACGATCAAAGTTTTCCTTACGAAAGTACAGCTTTCCCTGAACTAAGGTAATGTTTCCATCAAAACCTCTCAACTTCTATTAAAACAAAAAAATAATTTTAGCGAACAAGGATCTTATCACCCAACAGGTGCGGTGTATACAAGAACTGACGTAAAAAATGTAATAGAATACGCTCGGGTAAGAGGAGTTAGAGTTATGGTTGAATTTGATATGCCCGGACACACAAGATCATGGGGTGTAGCAATGCCAGAACTTTTAACTGGTTGTTTTGAAAATGGTGTACCAACAAATCAATATGGCCCCATGGATCCATCAAGAGAATTTGTTTATTCATTCCTAAACGATTTCTTAACAGAAGCCCAACAAACTTTCCCAGAACAATACATGCATCTCGGTGGTGATGAAGTATCTTATGATTGTTGGGAAACAAACCCAGATTTAAATAGTTGGATGGACTCAAAGGGAATGTCCGGCGATTACAAAGCGGTTGAAAGATATTTTATGGAAAGGGTGTTAGCCATAGTCCAACCAAAAGGAATTGTTCCGGTTGTTTGGGAAGAATCCTTCGTTGCCGGTACAAAATTAACTCCCGAAACGATTGTTCAAGTTTGGTATGGAGGATATCCTTCATTAAAGAAAGTTGTAGAAGCGGGCCAACCCGCTTTGTTATCATCATGCTGGTATTTAGACCACTTGGCTACCGGTGGTGATTGGAAAAAATATTACGATTGTGACCCTCACAATTTTGATGGTACAAATGAACAAAAAAATTTAGTTATGGGAGGCGAAGCTTGTATGTGGGCTGAAGTAGTTGATCAAAATAACGTTTTATCGAGAATTTGGCCAAGAGCAAGCGCCGTAGCTGAGAAATTATGGTCTAGTTATAACGCCGATGAATATGAAAATGTTCAAAAAAGATTAGAAGAACACTCTTGCCGTATGAATAGAAGAGATATTCCCGCGCAACCACCAAATCACGCCGGTTTTTGTTTAATGTAATAATTCAAATCTTGTAAAATTTAATCTTAATAAAAAGATCAAATTTTTTATTAACATCATTTTTATTTAATACTTCTTACAGTAATAATCATTTATTTACTCCTCTTATTTAGTAGAAACGCGAGTACAGGCTACGGCAGATCGCTCGGTTCCATGCTCATAAAATCTAAACGAATGCGAATTTCGGTTTGTAATTTTGACATCGTATTCTTGAATAGTTAGCTAACGAATTATGCATTAAAAAAAATCGATTTTTTGAACCTTCTAGTGTGGTTTCCCCCCTTAAAGAAAGTTGTAGAAGCGGGCCAACCCGCTTTGTTATCATCATGCTGGTATTTATGTCGCAGGCAAATGGTTGTTTCAGGTAAATAGCTTTTTCCTAGGCAGATACTATATGTCTAGGCAAATAGTTTTCTTCCATTTATTTCAGTCTAAATTCTACATTCCTAGGCAAATAGCATATGGCTAAAATATTTTCAGGCAAATAGTTCTTTAAGCATTAAAAACAAGTAAATTTTTGTATTTAGTACTTAAGTCTTCAAGAAATAAATCGTTTATTTGTATTTTTATTAAACTTAATAAAAATATATGAAACTGTTATGCATTTTTTTGAAAATGATACGCAAATAATTTGATTCATTTGACACTCATTGGTGATTTTAATTTAAGAAAAGTAAGTTGATAACGATAGGAGCGTCAGGCATCCATAGCTCCTATACCAATTAATTTAGGAATTTCTTTCAAACGCAAACTTGTACTATACATATACAGGTGTCCCACCTAAGTCGCCTCGGTCCATAGCCGAATTATGATTGAGTTTTTCAAAAAATGTTTCAGATAAAAGTTGAATGGAATCATATTGTACATATTTTAAAATTAGTTTCAGTAATGGCGGACTTCCGCTTCTACCGGAAATGGATATCAACTTTCTTATTTTAAATGGAACAGCCTGTATATTATTGCATTTTTGGATTCTTTGTGAAATTTCAATGGTACTTTGTTAAGGATACCTTAGGTCTAACTGGTATCGTTTTTGAATTATATGACCATTTTCGAAAAAAATGACATTTGCAGCGTCTTATAAATTTGGTAATATTGCCGAAACTGTGAAACCTAGAAAAATTTGGTTTTGTGTTTTGGATTAACAATAAAAGAACACACGTTTGCTAATAGAAAATTATGCATTTATATTACGGAGTTCTTAAGTAGGGATCTGTAATTTTCGAACTTTTTAATCATGCATAACTTATTTTTTTTAAATGGAACAATATACCAATTTTTGCATAACTGGATGTAAAATTTAATTTCCTTTCAGTTTTATATAGGTATCATGGTGTCTATCTTCAACGGTTTTGGAGATATTCCCGATTTTTCAGTTTTTCACTATAGATATGTATTGCGAAGTAGGCTTAGGACTGGTAAAATGGAAGGTGGTCGACGCTTTGCAATACTATTAAAAATTGAAGTAGGCTTGGAAAACAGACTAGGTAAACTGTCATTAGTGTTCCACGCATTAGAACTGTCATTAGTGTTCTACGCATTAGAACTGGTTTTCAAAGTATTATTTGTTAACATAATAATTAAAATGTCACCGCGGAGAGAATTAGTCGATATGGTTTTCGTCACGAGTTTACGCACAACAATATCCAAATAGGAGGCATCCAAATAGGAGGGCATTTCTGTCCTTACTGGAAAGATTTACAAATACTGGATCCGTAAAACGTACTAAGCGCAACCGTAATATCTCCGTACTTACGGATGAAAACCAGTTGCACGTATTGTTAGCTGTGCAAGAAAATGCAGAATCTAGTGTGCGTGAAATAAGTAGGACAAACATTAGTAAATCTTCGGTACACAGGATTTTAAGAAAACATAATTATCATCCGTATCGAATCCAGTTGCACCAGGAAATTACTGAAGGCGATTTGGAAAGCAGGCTGTTATTCTGTCAGTGGGCAATTGATACAAATTTCTGATGCAATTTCTTGATGCAAATTTTTTCGGACAGGTGGCGTTTTCGGATGAAGCTACCTTTCACAAAAATGGGTTTGTGAATCGTCACAATTGTCATTATTATGATACAACAAACCCCCATCGATTCCTTGCAACGCATAGCCAGTACAGATGGTCAGTGAACGTGTGGGCAGGTGTCATTGGAACACATATCATAGGCCCTTTCTTTCATAATCAACGTTTGACGCGTAGGATTTATTTAGAATTTTTAGAAAATAGTTTGGGCGTTCTGTTTTAAAATACTCCACTAGCTATTCGTCAGTGGATGTGGTTCCAGTACGATAGTGGTCCACCGCAAAATACCGCCCAAGTACGTCGGTATTTGGATGTGTCCTTTTCCGACCGCTGGATAGGACGAGGAGGACCTGTTAGATGGCCTCCGAGATCGCCAGATCTTACCACTTGCGATTTCTTTTTATGGGGTTTCATTAAGCAAGGTTTATGAGACATCATCAACTACTCCTGACGATATGCGTCAACGCATTGTAAGAGCTTTTCAAGAAATCACACCAGAAATGCTCAGAAATGTTCAAAACTCCTTACAAAAACGATTTCCATTATGTAGTGAACAAAACGGACATTTTGAACATTTGATGCAATTGTGTTTTTTTATTTGTGTTTTGTTTCCAATGGTCTTGTTGTGTTTTGTTGGCCACTTTTTAAGCATGCCAGTAATATTTCTGCCAGTCCCAAGCCTGGTAAAATGCGAGGGGAAGGTGGCCGGCACTGCGAAATAAGCATCTATCGTTAAAAACTGAAAAATCGGGAATATCTCCAAAACCGTTGAAGATAGACACCATGACACCTGTATAAAACTGAAAGGAAATTAAATTTTACATCCAGTTATGCAAAACTGGTATATTGTACCATTTAAAAAAATTTTGTTATCCATGATTAAAAAGTTCGACAATTACAGATCCCTACTTAAGAACTCCGTAATATAAATGCATAATTTTCTATTAGCAAAAGTGTGCTCTTTTATTGTTAATCCAAAACAGAAAACCAAATTTTTCTAGCTTTCACAGTTTCGGCAATATTGCCAAATTTATAAGACGCTGCAAATGTCATTTTTTTCGAAAATCGTCATATAATTCAAAAACGATACCAGTTAGACCTAAGGTATCCTTAACAAAGTACCATTGAAATTTCACGAGGAATCCAAAAATGCAATAATATACAAGATGTTCCATTTAAAATAACAAAGTTGATATCCATTTCCGGTAGAAGCGGAAGTCCGCCATTACTGAAACTAATTTTAAAATATGTACAATATGATTCAATTCAACTTTTATCTGAAACATTTTTTGAAAAACTCAATCATAATTCGACTATGGACCGAGGCAACTTAGGTGGGACACCTGTATATGAGTGTATTTCTGGAAAATATTTTCGCATATACGCGGTGGTCCAAAAAAGTGTGACGACACAAAATGTATTTTTTTTAAATGGAAAACCCGGTATTTATTTGGATTTGTCTGTTTTCAAGGTTTTTAAATAACTTTACTTTTTGCAATTTGATTCGGCCGTTCTCGAGTTATTCGAATTTTTCTAGAAAAATCTGCTCCAGCAGACTCTTTGGGATATCAATTTAGGATTCAGAACGTGCTTAAGCAACATGATGGAGTATGTTTAGGTATCGAGAACGGCTGTCATGAACGGTTGGTCACTTTACTATGGCACGTTAACTTTTCGAAATTTGGAAGTACCATAACTTCATTTTTTTAAATGGCACCCCCCATATTTTATTACTTAGTCGTTTTTGGTGTCTCATTTTACATCTTTTATATCCCATATATCCTATACCTAACATTAATAGTTTGCGAAATAATTAGGGTTTTTTGAAAAATGCACACATATCATATCGATACACTCATATATATAGTACAAGTCTGCGTTTGAAAGAAATTCCTAACTTAATTGGTATATTAGCTATGGATGCCTAACGCACTGTTGCAGGACCCTGTATATTGCATTGTTGTATCAAAAAATGGTATTTGCCTAAAACAAGCTTAGACAGATACTATTTGTCTTGTCCAATAGTATTTGCCTAGACATTTAATGATAACACTGCAATGAACCACTGTTTGCCTAGGCAGACAGTATCTGACTAGGAAAAAGCTATCTGCCTGGAATAATTAGTTGTCTGCGACATTTACACCACTTGGCTACCGGTGGTGATTGGAAAAAATATTACGATTGTGCCCGCGCCAACTATATGTGCATCGCACGACAGCGCTACTCAAATAAAGGCGCGGCGCGCCCACCCTACCGTAAACTGGAAAGATTTTGTCCGGTTCGAAAAAACCAGAAACGTATTTAGAAACGTCATGGTCATGGAAAGCAATACATGTGTATTTATCAGTCTCCAATGATGCTGGTATGTGGTCAAGTCCATTAACAGCAACACAAATAAGGGACTTAATAGAGAATGCTCTGGAAATGTATCAAAATCTAGGTAATTGTAATTACCCAAAAGATAAAAGTGGACGTCAATTTTCGGATCTTTACTTTTTTAGGATTTTGCCAAATAACGAAAAAATTAAAAGAAATTGGTTGCTTTATTCAACTGAAAAAAATGCTGTTTTTTGTTTTTGTTGCAAAATTTTTAATAACGAATTAAGCAACGTAAAATTGAGTACTACTAGATTTAATGATTGGAGTCACTTAAGTGAACACTTAAAACTTCACGAAAAAAGTAAAATGCATTTCCAGAATCTACACATTTGATCAGATTTCTTAGAACGATTACAAAAGGATAAAACCGTTGACTCAGAATTTCAAAATGTTTTGAAAAGCGCAACTAAACATTGGTGTGATGTTATCGAAAGAATTATTTATGCTATTCAATTTTTAGCACAACGAAATTTAGCCTTTCGCGGTTCCAGTAACAAATTATTTGAAAGAAATAATAGTAATTTTTTAAAGTGTATTGAAATGATCGCAAGATTTGATCCTATCATGTCTGTACATATTAATAGAATTCAAACTCAAGCAAATGTGCCTCATTACCTTGGGGATAAAATCCAAAATGAAACAATTAA